AAATAAAATAAAAGTTTTGCTTGTACCCATTAACCTTTTTCTAAAAAATTAACAATTTTGGTAGAATAGGGTAAGGTAGGGTAAAAGAATTTAGAGGGTTACACTTACGTAATAAGCGAGTTATAACGGAAAAATGCCTGTGCAGGTAAGATTGATTGGCTTAACATAAGACTCCACGTGTATACACCGCACATGAAAATGGCTGTATGGTAGTCAGAATGCTTTGTTATACCTTCTGGCGTCACCAGAACAACCCCATTTTTCACTCGAGCTCTCTACAATTTTTTCAATTTTATGTTTGCAAGACAATGGACCTTTGTAGAAGAAACAAGATACTTACAAAGTGAGTCAACCCATTTGAAAACCAAAACAAAGTGTCAGAAATACAGCAAAGAAGCAACATTCGTCTGTATGGCATGAAAATTCCTGTAGTATGGCGTAGTACCAGCACTACCAATGCTACGGAAAACACACCACCAAGCACAAAACTTAAAAAATAAAATACGTCGACAACATTATGAAATACAGTATTTTCGTGATACGGTTTATACGTTTCATCTTTTTCATCTTCCAGAAGTTCCCATACAGAAGGACCTTGGCGTTTAAAAGCTTTTGGATACGACATTTATGAGGAAGCAAAAATTAGAGTAATATAAAAGTGACACGACAATAAAACGAACTGCTACTGACAGTGTTAATCTATTTCATAAGAAATAATGACCAACGCAGTAATTATAAAAGACTTAACGCTAACTACTCGTCTAACCAACTATTTAAACCGTTTTAACATTGATAGATGAAGCGTACGCCGTCATTAGGGACAAAACGACATTTGAGACAGCGACAAGATGAGGTAATGATTATTGTGTTTTGAGTTGAATGTAGACTGGAAGCAAATACAGACAAAAGCTCATGTATGTCATCAACGTTAAGTACCAGAACCTTAACTATTGGGAATACGATTGTCGAACAAGTTTCAATGTTAGTACAGCTTGGGCAGCTAGTTGTTGTGACCCGGCATCGCGGGAAAAAAGTTGAACCTCAAATCTTGAGCGCATGGAACGTATACAGGAAAGCTCACTTTACAAAATCCGCATCCGTACTTTATGCCTCCTCTCATAAATAGTGAGCGAATACAAATGATAAACAAAAAAAATATTGGGCTGAGTCAGAAAGAGTTTCTGGTTAAGGAGAAGCTTGCGGATAAAAACCACCGACCTACTGGCTACAACGTGCTGTTTTTTATTCGCTATCAAGGATCTTGTGAAACACTCTTGGGGTCGCCAATCAATGCAATGTCCTGACAGACATTACCATTTTGGCGCAGGGTTTTTCGACTGTCGTATCGTGAATACAAGCACTAGGTTATACAAGAGCCAAATATTAGGAACATGATATTGTAAGTAATATGTTTAGCTGTATTATTACTATTTTTAACGGCATTTTGAATAACTTGTTGTTTTTAAATTTTGGCTAGTTTATGGTAATGCGCGTTACATTGGTTCCTTTAATCATCATCCGGTTTGGCGGATTTAAGCACCATATTCGAGCAAACCAATTAGATACAGCCAGTCGGTAAGGCGTAATTGTCAAGATTGTAACAATAGGGTTGCATATCGGTATAAGATTTAAAAAAACAAAAGCTATTGTTGCTGGATAGTCGACATCCATATTGAAAAACGCTGGTATACATAACGTTAGTAAAGGTAGAGATGAAGTGCACATTGGTATAACGTTCTGAAATAGTTAACAGTTATTTTTAACAGTAGCTATGCTAAACCGGATAAAGTTAGTTTCTGTAGTTTGGTTTTATGTTTTCTTAAAGGCGTAGCTAATGCTTCGGCTTACCTGCAACAACATACACTTTGAAAGCTGTTTTTGCAGTTTCAAAGTTTGTATCGAATAAGATTTTACATTTTTGTTTAAAAACCATATAGTCTTTAATGAAATGTAGAGTAAAAAACCAGTTATAAATAAAACTAGAATTATAATTGACACTAAGCATAATTGCGCGTAAATACTAGTTGAATCCATAACTAGCACTAATGGCTGCGGTGATTCCATATACCATAAGCTAGTGTAGTTAAAATAAGGTTTTTCAGTACCTGACAAGTAGTATGCAAAAAACGTAAAGACACCACACGGTAAGCACAAAAGTACTGTTATTTTAAATATTATTAGCGACATTTTAACGGTCACTGGGGTTTTGCTGAAATTTAACAAAAAACTTAAAACCTATCCTTAAAAATCTTCACTAAACCTGTAAAAAGGCCGGGCCAAACCCATATGTATCGGCTTAAGTCTTTTTAAATTTGCTTAATGTCGGGCTAAGCCTAGAGTCCCTTTTAGTTCTAATCTTGATAGTAATACAAATTCTACTTACTTAATCACAGTGTAATATCGGCAGTAGGCCAAAGCTGGCAACATAGCCAAAGCCACCAATACGGACCACACATAGCACCCGCACAAAACCGATTGACCAAAAAATCCAAAATTTTTACCAACTCCTTCAAAAACCACTAATATCACACCTTGGTTTACTCTGGCTCTCTAAAAATACCACAATAATTTTAATTCTTATTCATAAGTCTCACTATGCCCGGTTCGGGCAAATGTTTAATTTCCTGCTTGCCTTACCAAATAACTTGAAGTACTGCAAAGCAAAAAGATTATGTCGGAAGAGCAGCACAGTAATAACATTCTTCTGTAGGGTTTAAAGTTTCCTGTAGTGTGGTTAACAACTAAAAATATGAGTAGTGCTGATAATAAACAAGCAATTAACAAACTGACATTGTAAATTCGTACCACGTACCAATTAAAAATGTCGTTGAAACGTGAGGAAGCAGTAGCGTTTACAAAAGTTTCTCGTCCGTACGGATTGTATTGGTAGTCATAGTTTGACATATCTTTCTTAATGTAGATGTTAAAGCATTGATGTTACTATATTTGCATTGTTAAGTTGGACAAAACAAAAAATGAGTTTTAATTTATCGTAAAACTAAATAGTATGTATTACAAACAAAAAAAGGAACTAGAACACATTTTCTTGAAAACTAACTTAATATTAAAGTTACGTTTTTTATTTTTTAACCTTTAGTAAGTCACAATTTATGTAAATTAGAGTGGTAGAGCATTAGTATTCAAACCCTAATTATCCATAACAGCAAAAACTTGAAAAAATAAAGAAAAGTGTGTAGCGAGCAGTTTAGTCCCTCCTGCTACTCGATTCTTGTTTAGAGCAGCCTCAAATAGTACAGGGTCAAACTTCTCACCTGACCCGTAGGTAGACATGGCTGCCGGGCCGGGCCGAAAAATGCAAGAGCATGTCAATTTGCAGTAAAACTAATTTTTATTCAAACAAAAAACTCATCCAATCTGGTCTTTGTGACGTATTTTTTGAACTTTCAAATGATGATTTGTTGCAACAACTTTTTTTACATAGTAAGATGTGATGCAGTAGTAATGTTGATTGTACGTTGGTTCCGTTGGCCCAAAATCTTTAAACTAACAAGCCAGTTGACGACAGTCAAACGGTACGGCGTTACAGTTACAATTGTAATAAGAGGATTGCAAATGGGCATTAGATTTAAAAACACGAACGCCAAGGTTGCTGGGTGATTAACAGTAGTATCCCACAACACTGGTCCGCTTAGTATGAAGAGAGGTATTGATGATGTAAATATGGGTAAAATATTCTAAACTAGACGCTTTAATCTTAAGGTTGATATATATTTTTAAAAATAAACAGCGCAAACTCACTTGCAAAAGTAAACAGTTTGACAATTGTTTTTGAAGCTTCAACGTTTGTGCGGAAAAGGTATTCACATTTTGCTTTAAAAACCGAACTGTTCTTAACGAAAAGAACAATAATAAGCTGGTTGTTAATAAAGCAATAACAAATATAGAGACGACGCATACTTTCGCATAAATACTCGCTAAATCGCACACTAATATCAGCGGCAGTGGGTGTTCTTCGTCCCACAAAGTACCATAATTAAAGTTTTGCTTCACTGTTCCGGACAAATAGTAAGAGTAAAATGAAAGCACTTCACACGGTAAGCTTCCAGTCGCTGTTGTTATAAACATTAATTTTGTCATTTTGGTTGTAACTTGAGTTTTTCTGAATTTTTACATTAACCCTTAATTGTTTATCAAAGCGTTTATTAAACTTGACCTTCTGATAATGATTTTTGTGCATTTTTGTTAACTTACTTAACTATTGTGTAATAGTCAACTTACTTAACAACTGTGTAATAGCGAAAATACGCCAGAGCGGGCAACATAGCCAAGCTCAAACACATTGACCAAACATAACAGCCACATAAAACAGCTTGAACGAAAAAATCAGCATTTCCAGCAATCCTTTCGAACGTTAACAGTAGTACGCCTTTGCTTACTCGAGCTCTGTAGAATTGAAAAGTTTTTTATAAAGGAGTTTGTTATACAGGAGTTCCACTGTATCATGATAACAACACAAACTTACAAAATGCACCAAGCTGTTGAAGACCCAAAATATAATGTCGGAAAAGCAACACAACAGCAACATTTTCTTATACGGTGCGAAATTTTTTGTAGTATAATTCAAAATCAAAACGATTCCCAAAAACGATAAACAACCAGAAATTAGCGTGCTAGCATTATAAACTTGCCTGACATACCGGTTAAAAATTTCGTATTGATTTGAGTCATATGGGACATTCGATTCGTTGATTGTTTCCCAAGCATACGGGCTTGATAAAGGTCTACCGTACATTATAAAACGTAAAGTTTTGTAGGAAGTGTTAGGTTGCGGTTTTTGTAGTATTTGATAATAATTAAGTTGTAGGCGCTTCTATCATTAACCTTTATCATACCTGTTTTTTAATGTAAACAATTGGATAAACTATGGCATTGTGCGTTTTATTTTTTACTGTAAGTCTTAAAAAATCTTTTTGGATTCAAAAATATGTTTATTACGTTGAAGTATCTACTACAAAAAAATATTTTGAAATTTATTTGATTTACAATTCAGGGTACAATTGTCTCTCCTGTTCAAGAGTGAGGTGTTGTCCTGGGAGTCTTCCTGGCAAAAGACCAGCTTTCTTAACGCTTTCAAGGACGCTCTTATCAGCTGCCTTAGCCAATTTGTGGATTCCTTCAGTAACAGCCTTGACGTTAATCTTTTCATCATGAAGGAGCTTGACGGCATCCAAAACCAACTTTTGTTCAGCTTCTGGCAAGGTCTTTCTAACTCTTTCGTATTCTTCAACTTGCTTGACGGTTTTAGCCTTCAATTCCTTGTATTTGGCTTGAACATCGGCTGGCTGGTCCAAGAGGAACTTCTTGATGGCGGCCTTCAGTTTTCCTTGGGGTTCTTGTTTGTTTTTGTTCAACAACTCTTTGAAGGCGGCATGTTTTTCTTTGCCGAGGAAGCTGAAGGGTTCGGATGAGGCAACGACGACTGGAGCAAAGATGAGGGCGACCAAGAGGAAGGAGTTCATGGTTTCTGAAGAGTAACAAAGGATTTTAATTAGCAAAATATAGGGGTTTTAATTTTCAAAAAGCTTAATTAATACAACAAAACTTACCGTATTCTGTACGTTCAACAAAACTGACAAAGTATAACAAAACTCATCAACCTTTAAATATCCACTTTTCTCCTAATTAATATTTATAGAATAAATTTATAAAACGCTCAGTTGACCTTTTTTAACTAGTAGTTTTATGATCATTTTACGATTATTTGTCCTATTTCTTGAAAGTCGTCTAAACGTCGTTATTGTTTATGGCCACGTTGCGCCAAACATAATCAATTCAGTTTAATAAAAGAGAATATAGTCACTTTCATTTTGTTCTTTTTCTTGATATATCAACGATATACCGTGGACAAAACGATCATGATTAGAATATGTTAATTGAGTATCCTTAATTTGAAAAATAAAAAGAAATCAATTCCTTATTGAGTTTTAATTGGTCTTATATATAATAGTTTATAGTTTATTATGCTATTGGTTTATATTGCAACTCAAACAGACTCGGCCGTTATAAAAGTTAAGAAAAAGACGGGTATGTTTGGAATAGGTCAAGGTTGAGCTAGGTTAAGATACGTCTAAGGCCAACTAGTTTGAATACACTAAGGAACTTTGTTATACAGAAAAAAAATATAATTTATCAATACTGTATTGTTCCAACACTACTACTTTTAGTCGAGCTCATTGATTTAGCTATTAATTTTTGTTTTTGTAACAACCCGCACATTAACTTGTCCAACCACTTCAATACGGTAGTTTTGTACGGCGAGATTACAAGTATTGTAATGGCAGAATTCAGTATTGGTATCATCGTTAGGCACATTGTCGCGTATGTGACAACGTTGTCAACTTGGATACCAAATGTTATTGGCATTGAATAGCTTACGTTTGGAACAAAATTTGTAAAAAATGGTAGGATATTCTAAAATTGAAAAATTAATTATTCAATTTGGAATTTTTTAAAAAAGTATTTTAAAAAAAAAGAGCTTTTTTATAGTTGTCTGACCTGCATTAATAGACACTTTGAAAGTTGCCGCAGAGTTTTTAAAGTTTGTGTGGATTGAATGGATATGTGATCAGTTAAGTATCGTACTGTCTTCCATGCGAATATAATTGATAATGTATACGCTAGTATACCACATGGTATAACAATTGAGACAAAAATTTTCAAGTAGTTACATTTCTAAAAGTTGTGCAAATGAGGTAGGGCAAAGATTATTAAAGCTTGGGTAGGATTCAGGTAGGGTAAGAATAAGGTATGGCGCAATGGCGTAGGGTAGATGGGAGTTGGGTAGAATAGGGTAGGGACAAAGTAGGTTACAGGACAATAACTGTAAATTAAACGTACTATATCAGTAAAGATGATAGAAGGTAAAGGTCTTTCGCTAAACCAAAGAGAACCGTAATTAAAACCAGGCTTTTCCAAACCGGAATAGTAGTAACTCATATATCCCAAAAAACCTGTCGGCATACTTGTAACGGCAACAATCACGAACAAGACAATGGTCATTTTTGAACTCATAGGTTTTGGACTAAAATTCAACTTAATTATTAGGTTTTTCAGCTTCATCTAACTTGTAAGCCACACAAGTAGGTAATGTTTGACTTACTGTACTACTGAGTAATAACGATAATATGCTTGAGCTGGTAAAACATATTGTGAAAACGTAATGGACCAAACATAAATTCCGATTAGTATCAGTTTGGTATTGTAGGGAAAGTATTGACTAATGCCAAGAGGCGACAAAAGTATGACATTGTTCACTATCCGTACTCGCTAGAATTTAGTTTTTGTTCAACAAATTTTTTAAGAAGTTTCTTTTCTAATATAAACTGCAGTATTTAAAATAAAGTAAAACACGATAACTTCAAATTAATCTTACATAATGCAGTATATTCTCGACGGTCCAATAAATAAGATCAGAAGTAACACAAAGTAGCAACATTTTTTTGTATGGCCTAAACAGTCCAGTAGTTCGAAATAACACCAAGTATAAATATGTAAATGAACAAACTCCTCCGACAACACTTGTTACAAAGTAATAAATGTGCAAAAAATCTCTGAAACCTTGTTCTTCAACAAAAAATTCTTCTTTTCCTGAATCTTCTTCATCAATATCCCATACATACGGGTTGCCAAAGTTTTTCGAATTGTTAAGATAAAAGCGATGGGCAACATCCATGATATTACAGTATCTACTTGTTTTATAGACTATGTAAAAAAGTTATATTTAAAATTACAAGTTTGTAAAACGGTAACAGAAAATAAGTATGTGTGATACGACGCTTAAATTCTACCCTAATACTAAAGGCTTATGTTAACCCGCTTTGTAATCCCATCATAACAAATGCGTCACTAAGTTTTAAGAATTAGACTTTTCTTTGTCAACACTAATTAGAGAATAAAAACGCAAGTTATTTTATAGACAAAACACAACACTATGCTATACGGATTTACATTATAATTTTCTATCCCTTGTTCTAGCTGTTCCACAATGGACTTCCACCTCCTCTGAGTTGGCCAACAGAACAAGTATATCTGACGGTGAATCGGTACTCACCTTTGGCGAGCCCTGTCGTTGTTTCCTTCGATCAGGTCGGCCAATGGATGATTCGGTTTCTATACCACAATATTGGGTTGGAACTGGCTATGAAAAGCCTCTAGTTTGTTCTCTGTCTGCGGTTGCTACCAATGCTAAACTCAATTTATAATAAATGCCCGCAATTCACGCTTTTCAAAGTTTATCTGAAGTATAATGTAAATTACAGTAAATAGGCAAAGCCCTAGATCAGCAATGCACTAAACAATTTAAGCCTAACTGTTATTGTAGCATTCAAGTGAACAGATGAAATAAGAAAAAGTCAAACAACCGATATTGAACTCTCCGTAATTTTTATGGAACGCATCATTTATACAAGTTAAAAACGCAATTACAATACTAAATGAACCGTATTACATTTATTGATTTTAGCACAAAAGCAATCACATCAACTGCAAAGTTCCAGCACTGACACTTTTAGTCAATGTTGTGGTTTTGGTGGTTAACTTTCGTCGTTTCAGCACACCGCACATCAACTTATCTAACCATCTCAACACGTTAGATTTGTAGGGCGAGATTACAAGTATTGTGATGGCTGGGTTAAAAATTGGTACTAACGTCAAACACATTGTGGCATATGTTACAATATTGTCTGCTTGAACTCCAAATACTATTGGAAGTGTGTAACATGCCATTGGAATTGCACTTGTGAATAAAGGCAAGATGTTCTAGAAGAAAATATTTTAATAGTTTAAAATTTGTATTATAGTTTTTTTAAACATTGAGTTAACCTACATACCTGCATTAACAAGCAATTAGAGAGTTGTCGTTGAATTTTTAAAGTTTGCGTTGATTGAACAGATACGTTTCTTTTTAAGTGTTGTATCGTTTTCCATGCAAAAACAATAGACAAAGCGTAGGCTACTACAGCACAAGGTATATCATACATGGCTAGCATTTTCAAATACCCGCATTCCTGAAACGTAGTTACATACAAAAAAACAGCAAAAACGGGCCCGAGTTAGGGCAAGGCTAGAGAAAGGGCTCAAGCTAGTGTTTAAAGTTAAAGTCAACGCTATAACTATGTAGAAGTTAAATAAAATAATTGACGTACTATATCAGTAATTAAAATATCAGGCAATGGTCTCTCACTAAACCAAAGAGTACCGTAATTAAAGCCTGGCTTATCCATGCCTGAATGGTAGAAACTCATGTAGCCCAAGGTTCCTGCCGGAATGCTAGTGATTGCGACAATCATAAACAAGAACATGGTCATTTCTGAACTCATGGGCTTTGGACTAAAAATTGATTTACAAGTATAACTTTAGCTATGAAAAAATGTGTTTTTATAATTGTTTTTACAACAAATATATGCTTTTGTAATATATTACTTACTGTACTAAACAATAATAACGATAAAAAGCTTGAGCTGGTAAGACATATTGCGTTAGTGCTATTGACCACACATACATGGCAAGTAAAATTAGTTGAATATGGTAAGGAAAGTATTGACTGAACCCAAGGGGCGATACCAGTATCACATCGTTTATTATACGTACTCTCTAAAAACCTTTACGTCAAACATGATTTACAAACATTTTAGTAGTTGTCTTTAATTTTTTGTTGCGGATTCACAAAAACTGTTGTCTTAGGATAAGCCTGGCTTTCGAAGAAAATTACTTACATAATGCAACAAGTTTTCCACCGTCCAATAAATAAGATCAGAAGTAACACAAAGTAGCAACATTTTTTTGTATGGTCTAAACAGTCCAGTAGTACAAAATAGTACCAAATACAGCAAAGTAAATGAACATACTCCTCCAACAACACTTGATATAAAATAATAAATGTTTAGAAAAACAATGAAACCTTCTTTTTCAACAAAAAATTCCTCTCCTGGATCGTCTTCAAGAATATCCCATACGAATGGGTTGCCAAAGTTGTTCGAGTTGTTGAGATAAAACGGTTTAGTAAAGTCCATAATCTTACGGTAACTACTTGTTTATACACTGCGTGAAGATGGCAGAATTAAAAAACAATTTTTGTAAAACAAATGCGGAAATAAGTATGTTTTTTAATACAACGCTAGATACTACAAGAATACCAAATGATTATTGGTAACGCGCTTCCGTATGTAATGTCATCATTAACAAACGTTAGAGTTAAGAATTAGACGTTTCTTTGTACAACAATAATTAGAGTTGAAAAAGCTTGTAATGAGCGGGTTTACATGTTCGAACTTTCTTTAACAAAAAATTGATCCTTACTTTTTCATTGATACCCCTTTTAATATATACCCCACACGTGTGGTTTGTTAACGCTAATAGAATGAGCAAGTGAAAAGTGTTGAACAGCTTTCAAACTATCTCTACGTATGTATTGCATATAATAAAGTGATTAATAAGTAAATATTCTGAGTTAAAAAAAAACTTTTGACAAAAATGATATCAGCTTTATTAAAAGTAATGTATTGCAATAAATACGAAAATTATTTTGATAACAGAAAGTAGAATAGTAAGACTAGTTTTGAGAAACATTTACGTACCATAATAATCTAAAGTAATCATTGCCGTTAACAGAGTAAATGAAGTAGCAGCCCTGTTCTTATATCTTTTAAAATTTTTTGTGCGATACTACTTAGTACAAAGAATGACCAAGTAAATAGAATTACAATATCAATTTAATAAACACTTTTACATTGGAATTCACGTTTACCTACTTTTCAGAACGTTGCTTGCCCTATCCTTGTTTATATTCAAATTAAGAGTAAAGAAGACAGCAGTCAAAGCCGCATTTAATAAACCGGGCTTAGTTAATTTGTCAGTCCATACTTGCTTTATGAAGATTTAGCAAAAAGGAAGCAGCTTGCCATTTTTAAAACGGTTAGAAACGGTGAACTAACAAATGTTTTCACTCAACTGGTCTTCTAACAGACTTCCAGTGATTTCAATACTACTCAAGTGGAATGTGACCAGAGCAACTCTATTTTAAAAACACACGACTACTCACCGCAGAAGAAAGTGGTTTTAATAGGCAAAATGAGAAGTACACATTAAATTCTCACCAATCTTGAGTCCAAATATTTATTTATTTAAAAATGAACTGTATAAATCAACGTACAACTATTTTTTACATAAACACTACATTTTTTATTTATTTTATTTAAAATGGTCTCGTTGCAAAAATCAGGTAAATTGAATCGGACCCATACTACCACTTTTAGTCGATGTCATCATTGCTTTTGTCATTATTTTATGTCGGGTTAACAATCCACACACAATTTTATCCAACCACCGCAAAACAGTAGCCTTGTACGGCGAAATTACAAGAATTGAAATTATTGGGTTACCGATTGGTACCAATGAAAGACACATTGACGCATATGTCACAATCTTGTCCGATTGAATTCCGAATAATATTGGAATAGTGTAACAAGCCACGGGTGTTGCGCTAGTAAACAATGGCAAAATGTTCTGAAAACGTTTTGTTTTAATTTTTAAATAAAAAAGACACTACTAAAGGTTGTTGTGTTGTTTATAGGACGCACCTGCATTAACAAGCACTGAGAAAGTTGTCGCTGAAGTTTTAAAGTTTGGGCTGATTGAACTTCTATGTGAGTGCGTAAGTAACGTAATGTTTTCCACGCAAAGGTAAGTGACAGCGAATAAGCTATGAAAGCGCAAGGTATAACAATTGCTACTAAGAGTTTTAAGTAGTTGCTTTCCTAAAATCAATAATAGTATTTTATAATTATCAGTTTATAGTAAAATAAGCAAATTATTTTATAGACAAAACAGAAAACACATTAATAAGCGGGTTTAAATTGGTATGTATGTATATCACTAGTCTGTTAACTGAAAAGCTCTCTTACACATACGTGATTAGTCTTACTTACCATATCAGCGAGTAACAGAGTTGGCAGTGGTCTTTCAATGAACCAGTAAGTACCATAATTAAATCCAGGTTTTTGTAGACCAGAGTAAGCGTAACTAAGGTAAGCTATATATCCAGTAGGAATACTAATAACAGACGCCATTACAAACAAAAGCATTGTCATTTGTAAACTCATGGACCTCTTACTAAAATAAGATTAATTTTAAACCTTTGTTTTGTACTTTTTTTTGAAAAGTGTATTTAGGGCATGGTTTTATAGTTGGGTTGCTTTAAAGTAACTTTCGTGTTGTGACAGTTGAAGGTAAAAAACTTACTGTACTAAAGTATAATAACGATAGAATGCTTGAGCTGGCAAGATATACTCTGCAAGGATGACTGCCCACATATAAACGCCTAATAGTATCAACTGTGTGTTGTAGTTAAAATTCTGGCTGAATCCAAGCGGTGTCAATAAGATAACATTGTTCACAATTCTGACTCTCTAAACGTAAAAATATAAAATTTTTGAAATATTTTTATAAGTTTAAATTTTGTATAACAATGTTATAAAAAAACCTTATAACGAGCTTCTTTATAACAGACACCTCTACAAAAAAAAACTCCCGTAAGACCAATAAATTTTAGATCTTTGTTTAAACAAGAGTTTTAGTATGGTAGAAACTTCTTACATAATGTAGCGAAGTCTCAACCAGCCAATAAATAATGTCAGACGTAGCACAAAGCACCAACATTTTTCTGTATGGCTTGAACATTCCGGAAGTTCGAAATAATACCAGAAACAACAGTGTAAATGAACAAACTCCTCCAGCAACGGTAACTAGAAAGTAGTACAAGTGCAGAAAGCAAATGAAACCTTCGTTTTTTGAACTTGTTTCGTTATACTCTGCAGAATCATCAAAAATATCCCAGACATACGGATTGCCTAAATTGTTAGAATTCTCAGCGTAAAATTGCTGCGTAGCGTTCATAACGTTAGTAACTTTATACAAGGCTGATATTTTCTCATAGAATGCAACTTATACTAGGCTGAACGTGTAATGAAATACGACCCTAATTAACGATATAATACTAGTCAATAAATGCGGGTTTATACTAGACTGAGTTTATAAAGCAATGCTAGCCCAGGTTAACAATATACAATTAGACAATTAATGCGGAACTACGATTATAAATTAAGAGGGTAACTAAGCTGCTGGAAGTCATGAGTAAGCTGCTTTACTGTTAATTATAGAGGCACAACATATACCAATAGGTTTAAAGACAAAATTATTATTGCTTAGTAGAGTTTGTTGTTTGCAAGCTTCAGTACATTTAATACAAGGAAGCATCTCATTAAATTTAAACCGTCTAGTCATCTTACGCCGTCCATATACATAGATAAACACAACACATATTCTATGTATGATATTTCACAATAAGTAGAAACAACAGTAGACAATTATACAATTTCAAATGAATCTTTAGCTTACCCTCAGTGCTGGAGGTTTTGCCGTCTCCCTGCAAAACTTGTCACGTGTAGTTTTGATCATGCTGATAAATATTACGGAGTTCTTATCCGACTTTGACAGGGGAGCCCGGTGTCTCGGACCCGACTTTATTTTTATGTCCACCGGCCGGGTATACAGCAGCATTCCTGGAGGGAATGTCTCAGTTAATTTTTAATCGTGTTCCACCCGTGGTTACGTAGCCGATTTGAACGATGAAATCACGGATGCATAAACCAAATTCGTTATTCCGTGACAAGCCAACTTAACTTACTTTGAGGGGCTGATTGAGAAAGGTGAGTTTGCCAGAAAACCCCTAACTATTACACTAAGAATACATGTTTTGGAACGACAGCTTCATCGTAATTAAAGAAGTTTGTTAAGCTTATATGTTTATTCGCAAAACCTCATTTATTATAATTCACGTTAGAATCATGCTGCTGCCATTTGTCAATGCCATAGTCTTTATTGTTAGCTTGTTTCTTTTCAACAAACCGCACCAAAGCTTATCCAACCATCTGAGAACGGCAGCTTTGTATGGTGTTATCACAAGTATTGTTATCACCGGGTTGCAGATTGGTACCCATGAAAGAAACATTGACGCGATTGTGACAGAATTATCCACTTGTAAGCCAAATATGATTGGTATTGAAAAGAAAATAACTGGCGCTGCGCTGGTGAATAAGGGGAGTATGTTCTAAAATAACATGTGAACTCTGGTCTAATCTCAATTTGCATATAGATATATAATTTAGTTTGTCAACTTACCTGCATTAACAAACATTGAGAAAGTTGTCGTTGCAGTTTTAAAGTTTGGACTGACTGAACAGATCTGTGTTTTCTTAGGTAACGTAAAGTTAACCATGCAAGTATGATTGACAACAAATATGCTGCAAAAGTGCAGGGTGTAACAATTCCTACTAAAATCTTCAAGTAGTCGCTTTTCTAAAACTTTGTCAATAACTACATTGTGCTGAATTAACAATAGTCTAGCAGGTAAAGTAGAATTGAGTAGGGTAAGATAGGGTAAGATCGAGTAGGGTAGGATAGGGTAGGGGTAGGGTAGGAAACGTACCAAGTCAGCAAGTACCAGCGGTGGCAGTGGCCTTTCAATAAACCAAAGAGTACCATAATTAAAACCAGGCTTTTCTAGACCTGAGTAAGCGTAACTTATATAGGCTAAATAGCCAGTAGGTATACAAACAATTGAAGTCAGTATGAACAACAGTACAGTCATTGTTGAGCTCATGGATTTGTTGCTAAAAAGTATAATTTACTTTGTATAATGAAACTCCTGTATGATAATTTATACTATTTACTATTTACTTTAATTTTAATGTGAAAGTGGCGTTGCAATTTAAAAGTAATTATTTAGTTTTCTAAGCAACTTGCTGTACTAATGAATAATAGCGGTAAAAAGCTTGAGCTGGCAAAATATATTGAGACAAAACAATTGACCACATATAAACTGCCGTTATTATTAATTGAGTGTTGTAGCTAAAATATTGACTAAATCCAAGTGGCGTCAACAGTACAACATTGTCCACGATTCTCACTCTCTAAATGTAAAAAATATAAAACCTGCTATCTTTCTTTAAATGGAAGTTTCGTATAACAAACTCTGCTATAACATTATTCACAAAAAAAATAAGTTTTAATCTTTTAAAATTTGTTTTACATAAGCTGTAATGTATTAAAAACTCCTTACATAATGTAATGAAGATTCAACTACCCAATAAATAATGTCAGACGTAGCACAAAGCAACAACATTTTTCTATATGGCTTGAACATTCCAGAAGTCTTAAAGAGTACAAGATACAACAATGTGAACGAGCAAGTTCCTCCAATTACGCTGGCCGTAATGTAGTATAGCTGCAAAAGCCGTAAAGACCATGATTGCTCAGTACTATTAGCACCGTTGCCTTCTGAACCATCATCAATATTCCAGACATATGGGTTACCAAAATTGTTAGAATTGACAGCATAAAACTGCTGCGACATATTTGTTATGTTGTGTTAGCTTTGAGTCATAAAGCTTTTAGTTTAGTAAGCCGAATTCATCAGATAATAGTACGGCAGATTCATAATAGTAGACAATAATGAGGAACTAACGTTAACACTGCTGTTGAGCTGCTAAATATCTTACCAACGCAAAAACAAGAATTAGATTAACAACATATAATTAGTTTTCTAGTTAACCTTTTTCTTTTTTACAAATGCCATCATGAAGACGCGTATCATTAAGGTTGAGGATGACTTGTATTGTAAATTATGAATGACTATTTAAAAGAAAATGTAAAGCTAAGCAGAACATTCATAGTAAGCAGTTATATAATTGAATTTTCATGGCGGTAATAATACATAACAGTGTAAGAAAAAGTAGAGAAATTTATTAAAAATATAGATCGTTGGGTGCCACATAAACTGACCATGAACAACAAGACTTGTAGTCTAGAGATTGGTTCAAGGTTAAACTTACGTTATTCCAAAGTCTCTTTTGTTGTTGTTTTATAATTTATTTGCAAGCTTTGTAAAAGAATTAACATTAAGACATAGTGCATTAAAAAATGGCTAACTTAAGTTTTTTTTGCTATTATGCATCGCTAGTAACACTTTGATAAAACTCAGAAATTCTCTATTATGTCTCCAAATTTTGTTAAATACTTTAAACCTACCTTATTTCCTGCTACTGATGCCATAACACGAGAATTGTGGTTGAACGCGGTACATCGCATCACAAATAAATTAGAGCCGCGGATCATGCTCACTGTTCTTTGTAGTTTACCATGGAGGCTCGGGATGGATGATACGACGAGTACCGTAATGCAACGTTTCCGTCCTTCGCTAAGTAGTTTTGCCTTGGTTGAGAGTTGATCCATTTCTTCTGCAATTTTTTTTAACACGATAATACAAACTAAGTTGTAAGTCACATTAATAAAGCTTCACAACAGTTACATATAAACACAAAAAATAACCCGTATCCTGGTTATCTCTTAACAGACGAACCGTCAGTCCGCGAGTTTTACAAGAATAATGATCTGCAAGGCCTATGTAGCTTTCTATAAGGCGGCCCAAAGGTGTTTCTGTCTTAGTTTTTTATATAGATCCTAAGGTCTGACAATACGGTGACATGATCTTTATCTTTGTTTTTAAAACATAATCTTTTTATGTTGTTGTTTGCTGTAACATTATTTGTCATACTTGCTATTTTTATCAAAGCTTTTCGCTTTATCTTCCGATTTTGCTGCCCTCACTAGCCGGTCCTCTGATATTATCGCGTGAATCTCGATCAACCGGGTCTCTTTCGAGCTGTCGCGATCTCCGTTAGTAATTTTTTGGCCTGAGCTGTGTCCTTTTGGGCAGTGGGAGAAAAAAGACAGTTAGGGCGATAAAAAATAGCTGGCCGCTAGGTTAGCTATTTTTGGCCGCCCTAACAATCTATTTTCCCGCCGCCCTAGGGGACACATAACTCTCTTGCGTCTTCACAGCACACCGTTCCGATGCTACATAAGTTGGGTTACGAGGCGCTGTTTTGCCTTATCCGCCGTACTCTTCGGACTTGTATCTAACTGATTACGGTTATTTTAGATTTCTTAGTTAAATCCGCATTTCTGATTTTTCCAACCTAATATTATCCTTTATTCTCATTTCAAAACTTTAAAACTGGACCTTTGTTAAAAAAGGTAACAGAATTTACACTATTCATTGGCATTTTGGAGAAAGCTTTAACATAAGTACCAAGAAGCACTGTGTCCTCAAAACAGAATGCCAATGTCAGAAAAGGTACCAGTTCGATTTTGTATGTCTTTGCCGTTGCATTGAAAAATACTGTAGAAACAGGCACGAGACACACTATAACCTCGCTTAACATGAAGATTGATATTGACGATAGGATTCGGTATTGCTGAAACAACTAAATTTAAATTCAGTAGATACAATTTACTTTTAAAAATAAAAAAAAATTAAAAAAATAACTCTTACTGTTTCTTTAATGTTGCTTCTCTTTCTATAACGGAAGAACGATGCAGCAAATATAATTGTTAAAATACCATTTAATACTGTTAGGTGCCATCGTATACCGACCGTTATTAAACCGTGCGATTTTGAGACGCATGAATACAAAAAACAATCTAAAATTTGTGATTTAGTAGGTAGTGTTTAACAAAAACGTTTATAGCGTCCTGTTTTGCTTATCATGCCTTGTTTAGCTTTACTATGCACGTCCTTGTTTAGCAAGCCTTGCCAGGGCTAACTGCTTTAATGTTAATACGTTTGTGTTTTACAATAACTTACTTGCAAGCTTGTTCACTGGCATATCAAACAAGAATATCAAACCGCGTATGTCACAATAAATGTAGCTAAACATACTGCTGCTATTATTGTTGTTCTTAACAAAATAGTTTTGTGTCTTGCACTTGGAATGTAGATAATTAAAATGCGATCAATTATAACCGCACTAACTGAGAAAGTCATATTAATACTTGTCGTAGCACCCGGTAAAGCTACACAAAAAACAATAATCGAGTTGTGGTACTCTGATTCAAACGGTAATAGTGGTGCGATACTTATTGCATACATTGCTGCCACGTTGAGCATGGTTGATATTACACTAACATGAATTAGTTTACTTATCTGTTGGTTTCCCCAACATGTTTTTAAGTACGCGTAGAAAAAATAAGTACTTAGGCAAAGGCACGCGACTGACATTACGTGCGATACTTTCATTAGTACAAAGAGTTCATCCCTAAAACCTTCGGTTTCCATTTAAAGGTATTATGAGGTAGAGTTTGTTTATTTAGTATACTTTATGGTAGACAATTTCTTTATAGTGTCAACTTTCTGATTTCCGGCTGCAAAAAAAGTTTAGCTTTACAAAGAATAAAAGAAAGCGCAATGACTTGAAGGACTAACCGTTACTGAGCTAATAATACAAGAAAAACAATATGGTAACAGGTCGAAACGGTCGAGAAAATGGAACAAACGGTGCTGAGAAAAGAATGAATATAAAAAAGATGTTTCGAAATGAAGATGACTTTCAATATAACTTTTTTACATTGTTAGCTCAATACATCAAAATGTGTAAACTGTTACGATGGAGATTAAAGAAAGACCTGATAGAAAATAAAAGAAACACGCTGAAGAAGGCTATGACTTTAAATTACAGCTACGATCAACCAGGTTCGTAAGCGTACAAAAAACGACAGTTGCACAGCTACGGGAACGCGTCGGAAAATCAAGTGCAAGACTTTTGGAAATAATGGGGAAAAAACAATTGCTATCAAGTTGTGTAAGAAGTCCGAAACCTAATATTATGGAAATCAGACAAAACCAGACTGTTTGGACAACTCCGAAAAGGATGGGTGGACAAATTCCCAACCTATGAGCCAAATAAAAGAGCTACCTTACGTTGAAAATTGAATATAAGCTCCATTATTCTTCTCAGAATCCTACAAATGTAAACATACAAAATAAAAAAAGCTTAGCAGCCTAGTATTGCGTAATTTATGAAAACGTTAACTACAACGTGTATATTTAAAAATTTTTAATTGTTGAGTCCACGCTACATTTAGAGGTGTAACACTGGAAACTAAGAACATGTTTGAAAGAAGATGGTATTAGGAACCAAGACTATGTTTGAAAGATACCATTAGAAGTCAACGCTTAGGGTATAACAAACGCTATGCTTAGGGCATAAAAACCGCTATGCTTAGAATATAACATTAAGAATGGCAATACTTTGGGAAACTGACAGAGGAAGTATTTACTGAGTCATCTTTGGAATAACTATTGCGGTAAATAAACCATTAGATGTCTTGTTTAGGTGATAACCGTGCTCTAGTGGTATTTCATTGTAAATACTATGTGTTGAAACTAATGTGTTTCGGTTATATATAAAGAATAGGAAGAATAAAAATGTTGCACATAAACTTTATTTTGTTTTTATATAATTAAATGTTATATCAAGCAATGGTTACATAAAAACCGTAGTATTTTGACCACATTTACTTGACGCTGTAGACATATTGAGCCAAGTCCATGCTATTAACTCCTCTCTTGACCAAAACAAATCCTTTCAAACCCCAGCTCGTACCCCATGAGTTTTGAATGATCCAGTATGGTGTTGAAGTTGAGTTTTGTACGCCGTAACCAACAAGCAAAACGGCATGGTTAATAGACCAACCTCCGGAAGGTGCAGTGGGGTTCATGATGCCGTTCTTGTAGTTCATCATCTGGTCCGCGTCGATGTCTGAAAGATTCAATTTTAGACTTAAAAAATTATCTTAGGCTTAAAAATGAATCTTATGCTTAAAAATGAATCTCAAGCTTAAAAATGAACATTAGGCTTAAAAATGGATCTGAGGCTTAAAAATAAATCTTAGGCTTAAAAATGAAGTTTAGGCTTCACTTTTCTAAACTTACAAATAACAATAGGGCCCTGGTTGTAAACAGTTTCAGCCATTGTCTCCTCATCATCTGAAGGCAGTTGTTCCCAGCTCGACACTTTAACCGCTGTAGTGATACTCTTACATGCTGGTACTTTCAAAGTTGAGCCAGATGTGTAGGTAAAGTCAGCTTGCTTGCCCAATCCACTGTCAATAGCCAGCTGGAACACACCGGATGATTGGCCACCGGAGCATCCATTGTTATCACCGTACTTGGCGACATTATACGTGCACGATACAGCTTGTTGTTGACTCAGGTTGTAGGTTTCGTTTTTCTGAATCTTCATCTGACTCTCAATGGCGGATGTAGCGGCAAAAGCATAACAACATCCACATTGACCTTGGTTTCTGATCGCCGTAACACCGTTGTGGCTACGCCAATCCCAGGCGCTTGGGATTGAAGCACGTTTGGAGCGGGCGTTCTTCGGCTTCTTTTTCAGGTCTTTGGTCGATAATCCAGTATGTTTGGCAATGAATTCTTCCGGAGACAAGTCGGAGAATTGGGTGTGGCCAAACTCGGCTTCTGGGTTCTCTTTTTGGTGCTTGGCTATACGTTCCGCGGACTTTTTGAACTTTTCAAAACGTTCTGATAGGTCGGTTTCGGATTCGTAGGACTTGTTGTGCCTAAATTTGAAATTTGAGGAAAACAATGGAATTTAGGCTTAAAAATGAATTTTAGTCTTAAACATGAATTTTAGGCTTAAAAATGAATTCTAGGCTTAAAAATAAATTTTTGGCTTAAAAATAAGTTTTAGGTTTAAAAATGAATTTTAAGCCCAAAAAATGAATTTTAGGCTGTAAAACTAAATTTTAAGCTTAAAAATGAATTTTAGGCTTAAAAAGTCAAATCTTAGGCTTGAAAATGAATGTTAGGTTTGAAAGTAAATTTTAGGTTTAAAAATGAAATTTCAGGTAAAAAATAAATTTTGAGCCTAAAAAAATAAAGCTAAAACAACTTTTTAAAGACAAAAGTACATACTTAGCAATGAAGTCAAAGAAGTCATGGAAGTGTTTCTTTTCCTCATCATTGCCAGCGACCTTCTTGTACAAATTTGGAGTCAAATGAAGAGTCTTCCTGGTTTCATCAGTGACATTATCCAATTTGTTGACGAAATCAGCAATCTTGTTGTTCTTGAACCAATCTTCCAACTTGTTGTGGTCAAAAAGATTGTCCAGGTCAGCCAAGGCTACCGTGAAGGCTAAGACTACTACAATACAAACTTTCATATTGTAGATTGAATACAGTAAGAGTTACTGTAGATTGAGTAAAGTAAGAGTTACTGTAGACAAAGTACAGTAACTTCACAGAAAGCACAAGGACTTTACTGTGAGTGTAGTGTGGTATCTACTGTGAGATTATTAGACCTTATATATGGTTTGGTCATATTAGTTTGCTCTTAATAGCCAATTTGATGGTGCTATTTAAAATTTGAATACAAGGGTAAACATTGTAAAGTAAAGCAATTAGTTTATATGATGAAATTTGAATATTGTGATTGTCATTTTGTGTTACGTCTATTGTTAGTCAAATATTGACCTTTTAGTTTTTCATTTTCAAATATTTGGCTTTGTGATTATAAATTTAAATATGAATTTTTTTCAATTTTGAATACATGTTTCAGATCTTTTAGTTTAGTATGGTTCTATTGATATTCAAATACATAAAAGCCTTTCAACAATACCCTTCTCTTTACTTTTGCTTTTACTGTCACATTTATAATTAAAAATCAAGCAAGACTTTGATTATATTATCAATAAACTTCTAGAAATGATATGTCTGAGTGTGATAAAACAGTTTATAGGCCAAGTATGACTGATTGTTATCAATAGTGCCACAACGAGGGCTACGAAGAAACTAATTTTTTTGCCCCCCCCCCTTTCTTAACATATGCAGTCTAAAAAATTACTTTCCTTCTTTCTACAGACCAAAAAACGTTAACCTAATCGTATCCCTAACCTAACCTTAAACTAGCGGTCCCTCTCCTAGCCGTAACCAAGCCTATTGCTTCACAAAACAATAATCTAACCTTTGTTTAATTACATTTTTTTAAATTTTGATACTTCTATAACAGATCAATTTATAAAAAAACACTTTTTTGCAAAGTCAAAAACAGCTATTTGTCTCAACTTCTGGTTTTCCTTTCTTTCGGCTGCAAAACAAACAAACTGAAAGAGTCATAGGGCGAATAAGTCTTTGATAAAGCAAAGAAACGATTAAAACGTAAAAGGCAAAATGCGATCAGAAAGAGTTTCTTCTTGTTTTTACTTGGCAAAACATTTTTTTGTGTTTTATGAATATAGTATTAGCATTGATAAGGAATTTTGAACCGGGTAAATTTAAGAGGAATTAAGCGTACTTTTTTTGAAAATAAATAAAGCGGGGTAAAACATGTCATTGTAACAGAGTGGAGTAGATTAGGGCAGCACCTTAGATATGTAGAGCTTTGGGTAGAGTAGGGTCTTGGTTAGGATAGGGCTAAGGTAGGGCAGGGCTTTGGTTGGTAAGGCGGTAAGAGCTTGGATAACTGGGGCCTTGTCTAACATCTGGAAATTTCTGAAAATAGATTTCTAGTCAACTTTTTACGCTCTTTCAAATGGTATCACTCATTTCTAAAAAGGGAATGGGCAGTTTGTAACATTTTCTTGTAAAATAGAGTCAGGGTTCAGCCAAAATAAAGATAATTTAAAAAATGTTAAAATATTTTTTGGAACACTTTAAACCCTTAAATCCGACGTGTTTATTGTATACGTTACATTAACGCCAAAAGAATAAAGACAGTCTGGCGGGTTCATTGAATAATTTAGAATTGTGTCTTAAAAGGTCACGAATTCATTTTTAACATTTTTGAATCGTTATAAGAAATTTTTCAGATTGACCTAATACGTCTGCCACATCTAAACAATAAACAGATGTAGTAGGCTTTGGAATTTATTATCTTAGGATTCAAAGTTGATGCTATGAGGCTGCGTAAGAAGGCAATCTTTACATTATTTTTACTACCTGGACTTGTATTGTTCTACGTGATAAATTCAAAAAACCAAAAGACTTCTACTGTGTACTACGAGCAAGGTATGAAACAAGTTAACATAACTTTTAGACAGAATTTTTTGATTATTAATTATACTTTTTGAGCTGAAATTAGTCTTAGCCTGAGCCCGACTTTGACCTAAGTCTACTTTAAAAAATTTTTATTTTTGAAAATTTTTAGACTATCAATTTGCTCTTCAAAAAACTACCAAATATGGCAGTTGTCAACTTCCAATATTAGAACCATGGCATCAAAGTGGTTTAGCTGACCTTACACCAGACTTGAATCCGCTAAAAAACTGTGAAAAGGCATTTGAATTAAGAAGTTGGCTAGAAAATGGAAAACTGAAAATTGATAATGGAAGACTCTATGGAGAGACATGTTGGTATCGGTAAGATTGTTTAAGATTTTTTTTGTTTTTAGGCTACTGGCATATCAAATTGTCAAAAACTTTTTTAAGCCTGTTTTAATGGCTTTTAGAGGTTAGAACCTTTATTTAAAAATTATAAAGTTGCTTTGAAATGGCAATTTTTCAGCTGTGTCTACTTTAAAACTGACAGTGAATACACCACGTCGGAATGGATTACATATAAAGGAAAAGAAGTTGCAACTGAATGTGAAGTCGTCGAAGTTGAGTGTAGCCAAAGATTCAAACCAACTTATATGTATCTTCATGTACAGTTACTTAAAAAGTTAGTTTATGTTTTAGACTACTAAGCTTAGGCTTACTATTTTTAGCCTAATACGCCAAATTTAAGTCTCAGCTTACTACGCCTAAGATTACTATATCTAAGCCTACTAAACTTAAGCTTACAATGCCTGGACCTTCTAAGCCTAATCCTACTAAACCTGAACATACTGCCTAAGGTTACTAAGCTAACTAATTCTAAGCCTAGTAAGACAGTCACTCCCCTAGTAAGCCTTAAAGCGTACTAATCCTTGGCCTATTAAACCTAAGCCTACTAATTTATGAAACAACCATCACAAAGACTAAAATCAAATGCTTACAATAGAAGAACATGCAAAACCTGTGCGACATTGCCTAATATTGGCTAATGACATAATATGATAACCTAAATAGCCTCAGAGAAATTGTAAGAAATGTTATTGCGTAACGTTTCTTATGTAATATTCATAACATTATATAAAACTTGCCTCGATGTAAAACGACCCAACAAATGACTGCGAGTGCTGGGGTTTGGTTTGATTTTTCTGTACTAAAACTTTTTGCTATGGTCTAAGTCTTAGCCTTAGCTTTAGCCTTATTTAGTCTCTTCTCAAGCTCAATATGAAAACCAGTGCAAAGCCTACAAGATAAAGATGTGTTCTATAAGCCTACTAGCTGAAGATTCGTTTTAAACCTAAAATTATAATGTCATTTCAGACCATCGCAACCTAGTCCACCTTCAAATGCATCTAACGTATATGTTATCTTGATTGATTCTGTTAGTACCAGCCATCTAAAGCGTGCCCTGCCAAAAACTAAACTCTACTTAGAACAAACATCCCAAGCAGTAACTTTTGAATACCTAAACAAAGTCGGCTTGAATAGTCGGCCGGTTTCCTATGCTTTTTTGATGAACGAATCTCCAGAAGATTTGCCACGGAATCCATGGGGTAAAGAGAGAAAGATTGGCAAGTGGAACGAGTTGTGCCATGTGCCATTGAATAACTTCAGCAACTTTATTGGATATCAGTTTAGAAACAATGGCTATAAAACTTTTGCTATGGATGATTCTGGATTGGGAAACTTTAATTCACCTGATTGTTATGGGTTTACTGAGGCTCCAATGGATCATTATATCAAGTAAGTTTTATATGAAGCCTAGATATAGTTTCGCTTTAACCTCAGCTTTAGCCTTAGCCTAGCCCAGACATGATCCATCCTTAACCCTAGCTTAGAGCCCTAGCCTAGAGCTGTAGCCTAGAGCCCTAGCCCAGAGCCCCAACCCGGAGCCTATTCATTAGTACTATCACGTCTAACTTTAAACTTTGTTCCAGACAATACGCAATTCGGTTAGAAGGTCTCTACGGTATTCCATCACCCGTCCTCTATGACAATATACATTATTATCAGTGCCGTGACGGTTATGAGCCGGTGTTTGAAACTTTTCAAAAATTTGTAAAATTGTACAAAAATCAGCCTAAATTCAGCTATATTTGGTTTACGCATATTGCTCATAACAACTTGAACAATCTGTTTCGGACTGATGAAAAGATGTTGCAGTACTTTAAGGATATTGAACGTGAGGTAAGTTCTTGTAGGTCCCTGGCACCGATGGAACACTGTATGGGTCAGAAGAAGAAAAAAGAAGTGACGCACAGAAAAGAAAGAATTTTTAAATTTTTTTATGTTACATTGTGCACCAAAAGTTCTGTTACCAAACTTTATCTTTTATAGTTAAACAACGCATTTGTCATCTTCCTGGCTGACCACGGAGCCAGAAACCATCATTTCCGACAATCTTTCATTGGTGAATATGAAGATAGAAACCCATTTCTAATGATCTCAGTACCACAAAAGCTAAGGACAAATCAAGATCTCATGAATAATTTGCATGTCAATTCAAAAGAACTAGTGACACATTATGATGTCTATGCTACTATGTTGGAATTGGCTCAGGTGAGTGTTAATATTAGAATTTATACTAGGTAAGACGTAAGCTCGGTTGGAGCTAACAAGGGAGGTAAGAGATGAGGCTAGAGGTGAGGTTGAGGAGGGGGCTAGGGATGGGGCTAAAGCTTAGGGGGTGGGCTAAGCCTAACCTTCACATTTAAGCTTAAGATTTCACTTTTAAGCCTAAAGTTTCATTTTTAAGCTCTAAAATTTTTTTTAAGCTTAAAGTTTTATTTTTAAGTCTAAGATTTTATTTTTAAGCCTAAGATTCCTTTTTAAGCTTAAAATTTCATTTTTAAGCCTAAAATTTTATTTTTAAGCATACGATTCTTTTTTAAACCTAAAATTTCATGTTTAAGCCTAAAATTTATTTTTAAGCCTAAGATTCATTTTTAAGCTTAAAATTTCATTTTTAAGCCTAAAATTTTATTTTTAAGCCTAAGCTTCATTTTTAAGCTTAAAATTTCATTTTTAAACCTAAAATTTTTTAAAATTGCTAAGGGTGGAGTTAAAGAATAAATTAATAATAACACTAGTTGACTTTCAGAAAAGTCAAGAATTCACTCCAGCCACAGCCTTCACTACTACTAATTTTACGCCAATAAATATAGAACTAAAAGGTTCTTCCCTACTTCATCCTCTGCCATCTCCACGCGACTGTAATACTCTACTAATACCCTTCCAATACTGTTTATGTCAACATAAACAACAAAAAGTTCGAAACGACAAATTGGCTTTACAAGTTGGTCAAATGATTGTCAACAACATGAACAAGGCTTTATTTTTGTCGAAATTTAAAAACCTGTGTGCCAAATTGACGTTGGATGAAGGTTATAAGTACAAATTAATACAGTTTCTAGATGGTTCTAGGAGTGAAACTGCTTATCATATACAGCTACGGGTACTACCGAGTAACGGGTTACACGAAGCGCATTTTACGGTATGTTACTACAGAAGTTAAAAAGTAATTTTTTAAACCTAAACTTTAAATTTTAAGCCTAAAATTTCATTTTAAGCCTAAAATTTCATTTTAAGCCTAAAATTTCATTTTAAACCTAAAATTTTATTTTTAATCCTAAAACTTACTTTAAGCCTAAAATACATTTTAAGAATCAATTTCATTTTTTTTTATTTTTAAGTTTAAAATTTGATTCAAAGCCTAAAATTTCATTTTGAAGCCTAAAACTTACTTTAAGCCTAAAATACGTTTTTAAGCCTAAATTCCATTTTTAAGCCTAAAATTTAATTTTCAAACTTAAAATTTATCTTAGAGCTTAAAATTTATTCTTAAGCTTAAAATTTCATTTCCAAGTATAAAATTTTTATTAAAGCCTAAAAATTCATTTTTAAGCCTAAGATAAATTATTAAGCCTAAAATAATATTTTAAAGTTTTTTGTGATTTCAGATAAAATCGGACTCCATAACGTTGCTCACCACAAAATTCATGAGGATTGACATGTACAGAGAACAAGCATATTGCCTACCAAACCACTTTCTTCAAAATTACTGCTACTGTAAAGCTCAGAAGGCTTGGTGGAGGTTTTGGTAACAACGGGTCTAAAATTGTTTTTGTTGTTGTTAACTTATTTATTAACAAATAAAGAGAATAAACATCATATGACGGTTATGTAGGTAGTGCCTTACTTGTAATCAACTTTTGTTCGGAAATGTTTCATCGTATAACTTGATTCTTGCAATTCGCGCTGCTTCGTTCCGCGACGAACCTTGTTTTCGTTTCGAGGAAATGTTTCAAATTCGTTTCCTTCTGTTTTCTTTGAAGTTTTTGATTGAAATGTTATAAAATTAGTTGAATATACAAGTAAAGTCTTGTTCTTTGCTATCTTTTTATGAAAACCGTTGATTTTTTGAAATTTTATACGTTTTCAAAGGTATTTTCTTGAGATTTTCCTGTTTTGAAACTAAACATATGTTTTAGCTGTTATATTGCGCGAAATGACGGTGTTGCATGTAGAATTATTGTTTATTATGCTTTAATTTTATGTTTTTAATGTTTTAGAAAGAATGAACTGTTGGGAAATGGACGAAATCCAAGTTATGGCTAAAAGAACATCTTCAACTCGCCGGTTTCCTGCTAAACTGGACAAAAATGGACAGAACTGGCGAGATTCCAATTCAAATACGGTTTTACAAGATAGATTTGAGCAAGATTTATCAGACTTACATGTAAGTTTTAATTTTTTATGTGTTTCTTTTCTTTTTAGGCTTACTTGAGTGACTTTCCTCTGTTTTTGACGCTGAATTTTCATGGATAATATAATTTTGAGTATATTTTTGGTTTTTAAAGAATGAGGAAGGTTTTATATTCTTGATATATGTTTTAAGCTTTTAGAAAGGTTAAACTTATTGGCAAATGGACGAACTTCAAGTGATGGACAAAATAACATCTTCAATTAGTCGATTTTCCGCCAAGCCGGACGAAAATGGACAGAACTGCCTAGATTCCGTTTTGAATATGGTATTAGAAGATTGAAGTGAAGGAGATTGATCAGATTATATGTAGGTTTTAATTTTTTTTATGTATTTCGTTCGCTTTGAGGTTGATTTGAAAGAGTTTCATCTGTTTGCGACGTCAAAATTGCATGGATAATATATTTTTAAAAGGATTTTTAATTTTAAAGACGGAGGGTGGTTGTATATTGCTGACAAATGTTTGAGTGAGCTAAATAAAGATATTTTTAAGGGATTGAGCTCTCAAGAAAGGTTCTGAAAGCATGGTGAATATTAGAGGGAAAAATATCAGTTTTTGTTGTGAAAGTTATTTACTATGTTTGGCTGTTATGGTCATGTTATTTTATGTTTTTAAAATATTTAAATTCAGAAATGGTGCTATTTGTTCTAAAATAATGAGGTAAGTCATCGTATCGGGTTTTGCCTTGTAAAAATTTCCAGATTTTTGACCGTTTTCAGCACGGATCGTTGGCTATTAAGGAAGTGCCGTGCCTCTTTAAAGACAATTGATTTTCCTGGTTACTGTTAACATTGTTGTTAATGTTTTGTTGAAAAGAAGCCACTTTTCTTTCCAATTCAATGCAAATTCGGTTAAAATTGACCAAAAACAGATAACAAGAAGGGTTTGAGCACCGTACTCCAGAGTCATTGTGCAGTTTGGTTCAGTGTAATCGCTTTGCTTATGGTCTAGGCTTTGGTTTTGCTTTGGCTAAGGTAAGGCTATGGTTTAGGCTTTAACTCAAGCTCGTGCTTGACTTAGTATATTGCTTTACCTGGTCCGACTTTTACCTTAAAATAAATTTAAAGCACCAGTTTGTATTCACAGCTCAATTACCCCGCCAATCTACGCCAATTTACCCCATTCTTCAAACCATTTCAAAAAGAATAGTCTAAGGCTTAATCAACGCGGCCCTTTAAACGAATAACACCCCTCCAGCGTTTTACGCCAAACTTTTTGAGAAGCCGAAAGCTTCGGATTCGTGCTTTATTCGTTCATTCGAAGCCAATTGTCTTGTGTGTTTTGGGTTCGGTCATGTTATTAGAGAGGGGTCCGGCCGCTTAAATCGGGTTTGGATCGGTTTTCGCTCGACTTGACATTCCAACCGACCGCCTTCAAGCCGGCCACAAGGCTGAAGTGAAGTCGAGGAGCAGTGAATTGGTTTTTCATCATTGGAAGAGAGTGTGGCGGTTTTTTGTGGGTTGGGTTACGGTGGGTTTGGAATGAGTAGAAGAGAGGTGTGATAGGCTAATAGACTGGATGAATCAGTGTAAGATTGGAATTAGCATTATAAGGAGAGGAGGTTATAAAATTTTTTAAATAATGCAAAGGCTAAGCTTATTAGTAAAACTACGCCTAATTGTAAGATTAAGCCTTTGGCCAAGGCTAAGTCTAAGCGCATGGCTAAGGCTATGGCTAAAACTAGTGTATGTTCGATGCTAAGCTAATGCTAAAAATAGGTTTAAAGCTAAGGCTAAGCGTATGTAGCTTTGAAATACAGACTAATATTAAGGCTGAGCTAGGGTTTATTACAATTGATTTAAAAGGCTTCATAGTACTCGTTTTAAAAAGTCGAACTTCAAAAAATTCATGTTTGAACTCAACGCAAATATACGTCAACCAGTTTTGCAAACGATCCTATCTTTTCTTCAAGACTTCCTCTCCAGCAATTTGTGGCCACTCTTAAATTGTTAGACGCCTTTAACAAGCCCCCAAATAGGCATTGAGTTTGGGTTAACAAGAATTGGTGGCACTCGTCTCTTTCTTCTTCAACTCGACCAGATCCGGCTTCAAGTTTTTATACCGTAAACCGAGAGTTGTTTTTAGTAGGGGCTTGGGTTGATAGTGTGGTGAATATGGTGTTTTAGTATATAAAAAAACATAACTTTACAAAGTAGGATAAGTTAAAAGATATTGAAGAGATTTAGATAGAGCTACGGCAAAGCTAGTCAATGCTGAAAAACTAAATCACGGCTAAATCTTATTAATGTAGGTAGAGGCTACTATATGGTGAGTAAAGGTAAGAACTGGTAGAGAGAGGGGTAGTTAGGATACGACATAGACTTGGGGAAGAAACACCTTATGATGCGATATAAGATACTATTGTCGTCAGTAAGAGTTATGGTAAGCTATAATTAAGGTAGGGTAGGTTAGAATAGAGTATGTAAGGTAATGTAGGACCGCATAGGGTAGGTATACGGAAAAATAAGATAACAATCTCTTTAAAAGCCATTCTGTTTCGTAATTCTGAACAGAAATAGCGTCAAAATCACTGCATTTTTCACAAAAAATGTAGTGATTTCTTGCGAAGCTGGCAACTTTCGAAAACCCTCTGAAAAAGCGCGTGCACAACAATACATATGATGAACCAGATAGAACATGACCCTCTTCAACGCTAAATGGAGTGTTCTTGTCCCAGGGATCTTCTCCGTTTCCTCGCGGGCTTGTCAAGTGCCTTTCAAAAGGCGCTAATCAACGAAGTAACTGTTGAATGGCCGAGATTGGAGGCTTCTCCCAAAAACAGAATAAAACAGCGTCTTTAAGTGGCCCGGGGGTCGAGGATTTTGGCTTCTAATTTTACATTGTTTGGAGTGATATTGGGATAGATAGGCTAATTTTAAAATTGAAAGGGAGTGATGTTGGGAATGGTAGTAAGCGTTTTGTAATGAAACAAGCCTAAACTTTGTTTTCAAGCTTAACTAAAAATTTTACATTGTACTTATCGTGTTTTTGCGAGTTTACTTTTGAAATGTCTTCGTATTTAACTATTTTTTACTTTTTCATTTACAGGGTACAAAACTCACCTGGTGCTACTACACTTCACTTCCTGCAGTATATTTTAGCTTATTTTTTCTAAAATTTGTATTTTTTAAATTCACTATGAACGACGTAATAGCAAAGATGTTTGATGGCAAAATAGAAAACATGGAAGGACTATTTAAAGCTTTACAATCGAAAAAATTTGGGAATTTGGCCAAAAACCTACAGGAATCGATACTTCAATCTACGGTATCTGAAAATGGTGATACAATAACGATGGGTAGTTTTGAGGGTAAAAATGAAAGAGAAGGTAACTTACTACAAGGTACTATAAAACCGAAATTTGAGGGCAGAGACGATGCTATTGAAGATGTTATAGTAAAGGGAAATGAACTTAAGGATGACAAAGAAGGAAAGAATGCAATAAATAATGAAAAAGAAGAAAAGAAAGAACAAGAAGATAAAAATCAAGACATAGAAGAAGAAAGCACAGAAAACCATAAATTTCAAGAAGGTACAACCTCCAAAGCTTCGTCAGAAATTAATCTCTTGAAGCCTACTACAAGTTTAATAACTGAAAAAAAGTCTACAGAACTCACAAAAGAGCCTACAAAACCACCATCCACATCCATATCCTCACCTACGCAAAAACACCTTCCAAACACTGCCCAGCCTTCTACATCTACTCTAAACTCTCTAAAGTCTCATCTAGACGAAGTGAAGAAAGAGCTTCGTCGATTTGCTAAAAAGAAGCCTAACGACAAAGTAAAGCTTCATGATGACAAATGTAACAAAGCTAATTCAAAAGAAGACGGTAAAGACGACAAAGAAGAGCATGGCAAAATGAAAAACGTTAATAAAGAACAAAAATCAACCCAAAAGCTGTCGGAAAAACAAAAAATGGACCCGAAAATGCTGGCCGAAATGACAAAAGCTCAAATGTTGTTCTCCATTTTGAATTCTTCACCAAATCAAGGTAGAGTAATGTGTGGAGTAATGTATTGTTCGTAAGGTCATGTGGCTATATGTTTAAAGTGGTATTGTCTTTGGTATTATTTTTTATTCTATGTTAGCTTATTGTTGTGAACAGCTTTTTATCTTTACGTAGCTCTACTTTAGCCTTACACCAGTCTTATCTAGCTCTGTCGTGGCCTTACACTAGCTCTACTCTAGCCCTTAATTAGCCCTAATCTAGCTCTATCCTGTCTCTGTTCTATGTCTACTCTGTTTTCTTTTAAAACTTTCCTCTAACTTCCTCTATTCTAATTTTAGTCTTGCCATCTCCGAGTTTTAACTTGCCCTACCATAACCTTAGGCCTCGCTCTATTCTAGCCTTAATTTACTTTAACTTTAGTTTAGATTTGTCCTACTATAACTCTGTCTTACCATACTCTAACCTTAGTCTAGCTTTGCCCTAACTTAGCGTAAACTCACCGTACTCTCACTTTAGTCTAGCCACATCATACCCTATTCCTAACTTCCTCTACTCTAACTTTAGTTTAGTCTCGTCGTACTTTAGCCTTAGTTTACCCTGCCCTGTCTTTAGTTTAGCCCTAACCTACCCATGCCTGCTTTTGAAGATAACAAAACTTAATTATGATTCTAGAACAATTCGAAATGCGTTTGTATTGTGGCTTGTTGTTTGTAATAAAATAATTTCTATTTTTCAAGTTTTGCTACAAATTTTGAATTCATCTTCTGTTTTTAAGTGTGCCACAATTAAATTAGCTTTGCTGGTTTTGAAACAGATTGAGCTGAAAATGAAGTTATAGTTTTCGTAATGCATATTATTGAGCATATATTCTAAAAATTTTAAATTGCCGTAATGGTTCATGACAAAGTTATGATTGTTTGAAAATGCCAATGAATTTTTTGATTTTCGTAATTTTATTTTTCAATTTACAATTGTTTTTTTAATTTAAATTAATTGTTTTTTCCAAATTAAAGCCATTTTCAAACTGTAAACTTAATATGGTTTGCTTTGTGTCAAAACTATGTTAATTTAGGTGTGCGAAAACATTTTCATACACTTGAAGATTAGTGTTTTGTGTCAAGTGCGCATGCATTTTGGTCAGTTTGACCTCGAACATATGTTTTCGTGGGATTCAAACTGAAAGCAAAAGGGTTACTGTAAAGATGTGATTTTTCGGATTCAAAAATGAAAACTTAGATGCAAAAATTTACAAAAATTTGGCTTTAATGTAGCTTTGTATAGTACTAAAGCTAGTGGAAAAATTACTGTATCTTGAAACACAGGTATGTTACAGTATTCAGAAAATATTTTCAGGTTTTGTAATGGCAAGGTTTTTAAATAATACTATGTAGCGCTGAAAAAAGGGACTGTAAGATACTATGAAGTACTAAATATTATACTCTAAAAATTTTTACAAGATACGGTAGATATATGACCTTAAAACAATGTGTAGCTACATATGTAATTAATCCCTAATGTTGGTCTTGTAATATAATCTCGACTGAGTTGTTTCAAGTGAGAAACGGAAGGTGGACTAGCATAATATGCAAACATAACCCGGTTTTTAAACAGATTAGTGTAAGAGGGTGTAGGTTGTTGATTTAACGAGATTAGCGTACTATAACATACATTGCGGACACGGTAATGCGGGCACAGTAACCTCAATAAAAAAGGTTGGACTAGGCTTGAGCTACACCTAAAATAGGTTGGGCTAGGTTCGGACTAGGCATGAGCTAGGCTAGGCTTAGGCTTAGGCTAGGGCTTGGACCATTAAAGCTTAAAGTGGAAACAGTATTGATATTAGTGTCATGATACGTATAATGCATATATATATGTATAAAAGTGCATATGATATATAGTAATGTATTAAAGTGTTACGTTTTTATAGGTATAGGTACATAAATTACCCAAAATACAAGAGGTATAGCTACATAATGTAACGTTTCTGTGTAGTATGAACCTGTTTTATAAATCGGAATTTGTAGTTGCACTTTCACGTCAAGTTTCTGTATGATACTATACGATTACAACGTGATTTCTGTAAAATACAGCATTCGTTGAAGTGGCAATCATAATAATATCACAAGGTTTTAATGTACTGTACAAAATTGCCTACTGTACCAACTTGTTTTGAAGTTTTAGGTACTTAAAAATTGATATTAATATAAAAAGTTAAGTTGATAAATATATTTTGATGGTAAAAACATGTTTTTCGAGTTTTTAACTTTACAATGCCATAAAATAAGTCATGCTACTTAAAAATATTGATGGACACACCTACATGCACTTTTAAAGCCATCGAAATTCGAAAAACTTGTTTTGAAAACCGCAGCTTAATGCTACATTATCAAGATACACCAAACAGTATTCGCGTACAATTCGGTGCTATTTATTCAAATACAATATAAACTACTGCTATTTGTTAAGATACAATATAGTAAACTGATTGTAGTATCTTTTTGCTTATTGTAAACAACTTTTTACTGCTGCCTAAATTAGAGAACAGGCATAGTTTTAACACATACATGGTTTGTAGCCGGAAACGTTAACTATTGGATAGAATGTGATACGTTTGCTGATAGACTTCCTTAACAAGGATAAATAATTTTGTAGTAGAAGTGGTTGGTTATGCAAGGAATTTTTCTTTTCTCGAAACTCTTTTCCTCTATTGTAATTATAATTTTAGTAAATAATTTGGTAGTTTTGCTAGTTAAAAGCTGGACGGGCTCTTTTTTAGCCTTAAGCTAAAAAAAATTTTGGTAAGGCTGTGGCTTAGGTATAAGTTTTATAAAATATGCAGAATTTTAGGCTAAAAAATATTTTTCTGGGTTTAAAAATGAATTTTAGGCTTAAAAATGAATTTTAGGCTCAAAAATAAATTTTAGGTTTAAAATGAATTTCAGGCTTAAAAGCGAAATTTGGACCTAAAATAGGCTTCCAAATTGATTTTTGCATTTTTAAACAGATTTTTTGTTTCATTTTTGTATTTACCGCTCCTTCCGGCTGTTATGCAATCGCAAACGCAGCCGAAGATGTCAAAAGGACAGATCATAGAGAGGTGACCTGCGAGTAGCTTCCTGCACTCATGATTCAATTAACCCGTTAATAAAGAGAATATGCCGTTAAGTGCAGTGTCTTAAAGGCATCCGAATGACAGGTAGATCCCTTTTGTAATGGATATAATATCCGTAAAATTCATTAGGAGTTTACTTTTACTGGGTTGTTATTTTTCAGCCTAAAAAGCGGTTTTTATTTTTAAACTTCAGTTTTAAGTCTAAAATTCAGTTTTATGCCTAAAATCATTTTTTAAGCCAAAAATTGTTTTTTAAGCTTAAATTTATATTCCTAGACTAAAACTTATTTTTAAGTCGAAAATTTTATTTTAAAGCTTTAAATTCGTTTCTAAGCATACATTTTTGGCGTCACGTCAAAATTTATGTTTAATCCTAAAGTTTGATTTCAAGCCTAAAATCAGTTTTCAAAGTTCAATATTCCTTAGTCCCATGAATTTTTATAATTTTTCATTTTTATTTTTTTTTGCTGCGAAAAATTTAAAAATTGGCGTGACGTCAAAAATATACCAAAAATCACATGCCAAATACTATCCCAACCCCCGGACCATCCCCAGAACAATTATGAGATTTATCACTGAGCGTAATGTATAACTTACTTAGAGTTAGCACAACTGTTTTATTAGGAACAAAGATTATGTCGCAATACTGGATTAAATATTTTTCACGGCCAAATTTAAATTTGGATTTGGGAAAGTTTTTTGGGTTTTTGGATGCTTTTTGGATTGGGATGACTATGTAATGCTGATTTAAATATACAGTGGAACTCCTGTATAACGAATCGCTCGGGGATTTGAAATTTGTTTGTTATAAAGGAATTTCGTTATAGAGGAGTTGGTTATGGCAGCGCTAAGTGTAACACGAGGGTACAGCTAGGACTGCATTAACGAAAGCCGGAGGGTATGGTTATGCTAGCTTTAAGTAGAAGATGAGGATATGACTAGGGCAGCGTTGTTTAAAACAGGAGGGTATGGCTGTGTTAATTATTACTAAAGCTAGGGTACGGGTAGATTATGAATAGGGTTTGGCAGAGTTTTATAAAAAAAAAGATTCCTTGTGTGTGTGAGGGCTAACCAGTGAAGAGGAAGGGCTCAAAAAATGTTTTAGATAGTTCAAACAATTCTGTGCTTTAGTCTCTCGAAAATTCGTTTTGAAAGAAGTCACAGAATTATCTGAACAACTTAATATAAGAGCAAACTGAATATTTTTGTGAATTTTTTTTTGCAAAAGTTTTGCTGTATATAATTTTACGTTTTGTAGTAAGCCTACTTTACAAGCTATTTTAAAGCAAATGTTCATTTGGACTTGAAATGTTAATATGTACACAAAACGTGGAACGAAGAGATTTCTTCTTAATATATTACTATATTTCTTTTACACGTCACATAATACTGTTATTACACCGTAAATTTTTGTATTTTTTACACTGTAAAACACATAAATATAAGATATATGTTTTACTCATAAAACATATCTAAATTTATGTTTGTGCCTTGTGTACAAATTTATTGACTTAAGCTGTGCTGAACAATATTTAGTTACAGCATTACGGTTTAGCTACAATAAAAACGTACATAATGGTATAATGATACATATTATATGATTTCAAATGATACTAAACAGGTTTTAGTTTTTGAGTAGAAATAATATTAAGTTAGTAAAGGCAGGGGCTTAGCTGCAAATCATTTCCTGGGTATGGGAGTAAGCGTACGTTTCTTGGGTACTACCTGTAGCTCAAAAATAGGTTTTTTAGGCTACAAGTAGAACTTTCACACATGAGAAACGGGCAGGGCCAAGCCCATTTTTCAGGTCTGGCCGGATGACAGGTCCGGGCCAATTTTTTTAACTTGGAAACGGGCCGCGCTCGATCGAAATTTTGCTCTTGGCCGGCCCGGCTCGTTTCATGTCTACCTTCACCAACACGTTCCACCTATGCAATTTTTTTATTGGTTTTGGGAGATGTGTGG